CATAGGGGCACATGTATGAAATACTTGGACATGTTAATCTCTGAGAAAAAGATACATGTATGTATTTATGTTGTCATGTATGCATGTATGTATGTTTGCATCTGAAGCTAGATCATCATGGAATCAAATGCAGTTGTTGGGTTACATTAGTACTATGGTAGTATTCGTTGTTTTCCATTGCAACACCATCAGTGTATATGTATTCGTTGTTAGAAGTATAATTGTGCTTAAGATAGAGAAGAGTTAGAGATAGAATAGATTTAAACATGTACGACTTGCCATCTACTTCAAGTCTTTTCCCCTCATATTGTACTCCTATATATATATCCCATATGAGTGACGTACAACACAATAGAGATATTGGCATCCTATATTTTGTACATTTGATACATATACATGGCAGGTGGAAAGGGATGCTGGGTTGCTTATTGCTCTGGTAATAAGTAAAGCCAAAACAGGACACCGGAGTTGTCCGCCCTTGCTTGTCTAATAAAAGAGCAACATGTGGGCACCCACAAGGGTGTGATGTTTGAGGACTCAGCTCCACATGCCAGTGAGCCAACTGCTTCCTGCAGTACGTCAGAGGAGCCTCGTCCGATGTTTGATGGCCAGAGTGAGCTCCTCAAGCTGCAGTGGAAGAGCGATCCATTGAGCTAGCTAGCGCGTTGTGCTCTAGAACCGTATTTAAGTATGAAGATACACTAATTAGTGGCAACCTGGCACTTAGATATAATTAAAGCCATAGCTAGAGTTCACTAAAGGTTTTCAGAGCATCATTTCTGTTCAAAGAAGAGATTGACAGAGAACAACTAACACAAAGTAACAAAGATGTAAAGTGAACCATCAGCCTTTATTGATGATGTTGATATTTATACATGGGAAACAGAAGCGTGTGGAAAGGCGTCTGTACAGAGGGATGAGCAACCATCACGATTGTTGCCAAGAGGCAATTGCCACATGGTTCCTATTAAGCGGGGATTAACCCACTAATCAACACTAGTTAATTTTTTGCGGGAATCAACACTAGTTAATTAACCCTAACAATTTCATTGGACCCAGGCGGGGTCCAGCAAAACATACTCCCGCGGCAAGAATGATCCGGCGGATGCTGGGCCACGGCGAAGACGAGAGCAGTTCGCCATGCTTTTGGTTTCCTCTAATATCCCAATGAAGCAAATAAATGAAAGTCTCAAGTGCTTCTCTTTTCTAGCCAAAAGGTACTCAGCTCTGAATCAATCGTCGAGAAGCCTTGGCTTATGTAGATGTGGAGATGGATCATGGATCATGCATGCTAAGCTCCTCCACATCTTTATTACCACGCCAAGATGCATTTCTGCACGCACGATGCATTTCTTTGCAAGCTGCACGCGCACGATGCACGCCAAGATGAATCAATTTGGTTCCCCTTTGGATTATGAGTGAAAATAACACGACCAAGACGCGTTTATTGTGAGGTAGCACTCTGCTGGACATGGAGTTTCTTAGTTCCAGCTCGTATGAGCTCGGATGAACAGTAAAATCGTAAAAAAGAAAGTCATTTTTTTTTGTGGCAAACAATGTCTAAGTCTAATTTTGTCGATGCTTGCAGAGTTTCATCGTGAAATGACATTTGTAGAAGCCGTGGCAAAAAAGTCGATGCTGCAGAAAAGTCATTTCCAAAAGCATTTTGGAGTGAAGATTTTGTTTTTTCTTCACGGCTTCTAGAAATGTCATTTCACGTTGAAATTTTACAACCGCCCAAAACATTTTAAAAATTCAGAAGATTTTTTAGTTATTTTTTTGTGTTACTGTTTATCCTGACCTCATTTGAGCTCGGGACGGAAAGAGTAGTTTTGCACTCTGCTCTTCTCTTTTTTGTTTCGAAGTGGTAGCAGTTTACTGGAATCACAACATCCGGGCTGGATCCCACGAGCTCACCGCACCGGCCCACGAGTAAACCGGACCAAAAGAGCACCGGTCCGTCCATGTAACCGAGCCACCGACCCGACCGAAGCACCGCAGCACCGACCGAGCCGCACCGGGACCCGATGTCGCTGGTCGCCTACGACGCCTCCTCCGACGAGGACGAAGCCGGCGACCCTCCCGCCGCCGCCCCGGCCCCGCCTCCCCGCCCCGCCCCCACCGTCGGGCCGCAGCCGAGGCCTCCGTCGCCCTCTCCG